GTTTTCAATTGAAATAAAATTAATTTGTCCTGGCCTTTCTATCAAATGACCTCAGTGCTCTTGTTTAAACATCATCTCATTTTCACCGAGATAGATGGATCAAAACTAGTTTCTGGCCAAATCTGGACACTGGTTCTTAAAATTCTTATGACTAACACACACACACACACACTCTCTCCTTCTCTCCAAAAGGTTTCAAAATTTCAACTTCACTCCTTAGGCAAGTTTTGATGACACAAAGAATTGCACTGAAGGCATAATTTATATCATTTCTCCAGTGAATTCTAAAGAAAGGTGGACAGGAATACAGAGGTGAAAAGAATTTTTTTTGTCACCCGAGTGCTTATCAGGGGTCTTAAAAGATCCATACGCAAAAGTTGGTAAAACAGATCACTGTATTAAAGACTATCTGCTCCCTCTCTTCCCCTTAACTATCAGATAAAAATTAGTTCTACAAGTTAAATATATAAATATATAGGTTTTACGGTGTTTTTGTGAAGTTACAGATTTGATGAAAACAAGATAAACGTTTGCACGGACAGTAAAACTATCGAAAAGTGCAGCAACTAGAGTGCTCCAAGAAAAGATTTCACCATGGGATTTATTTTTATAAGATATTTTACTTGTGGTTTGGGAGAACAAGAACAGGAATAAGTGAAACATTTATCAATTGTTATTTATCAATTATCAAATAGTTTAAAAACTACAAAGTAAGTTTCTGTTTAAGTAAGAGGAAATTCAAACTTTTCTTAATTTGGGGGTTTTATAAGGTGTTTGGATAGAAATATTCAATATTTCTAAATAAAAACATCTCTTTTTGAAAGCCTTTTTCTCATTATGTGACTCAGCAGCATGCTTTGATGTCAGAAGTTATTCTGATTAGACTAAACCTCAATGAGTCTATTCATCACTTAATAAATAAATAAGCATTTTCACTACTTGAATCCAAGACAAGCCAACAGTAAGATTTAAACTGAGAAAGCAGCCAAAGAGTTTGGGAGACTGCTTGCTTTTCCTGCTTTGATTTTTACTTCAATCATCATTCAGCTGCAGAGGAAGGAACCTGCTTTATTCTCTCCGTTGTACACACAAGGAATTTTGTTGCTAATCTGCTTTCACAAAGGTAAAACTGCTCCTTCTGTGTCCAATAAGAAAACATGAATTTGGATGATGGCAAATACTCTTTTGGGAGATTAAACTTACTACTATATGACTTCAGGAAGAAGATCCACCCATAACCGGTAGCCCAGAAGTAGTACTAGGGTGCTTGTCACTTACCATTGAAGTGGTTTCTTTTGATCTTGAGAAGGGTTGGTGACTTTCTTTCACAGCAGGGACTTCACCAGCTTACCCGGGTTTGGTTTTGATAGGGTGCTAGAAGATGGGCAACCTAGCTTTGCCCTGTGGCTCTCTCTCCAAGCTGGGTATTCTAGGTCTAGAAGTTGACTGGGAGCAGAAAAGACAACACATTCCCCTTCAATAAACAGGTGAAGTGGGGCCTGACACTTGCACATGGTTTTCAGAGCCTTCTCAAGAAGTGATTTCCCTTAACTGGCATGCATTCTCTCAATGTTTTAATAATGAAAGAAAGTCTCATGTGTATTTCAGACTCAAGGAGTTTCCTTTTGCTCATATTTAAAATCTTCAACATTTCAACCACAATGCCATTTTGGAAAAAAAGTTTCAGAGGACACCTCTCCTTTGCTTTTCAAATAAAATCAAGGCAGCATTTTACCTCTTGGAATGACCAACTCCACGTCTAGTTAGAGCAAAACTACTTTTATAGATTGGTGGGATATGGATACAGATAGAAACTATTACCAAAATGACTGGTCCTTCTGAAACAGACATCTGAAATGTTTTCTGTCCGACAAACAGTTCAAGTGGCAATGACAGAATCCCAGCTACAAGATGGAGATAAACCTCCTTTAAGCAGGAAGATTGTCTTAAATTTTTTAGGATATGTTATTTTCACATTGCTACCAAGCTTTCAGTCAAGCGCCTACTACATTCATATAAAAACACTTCCAAATAAGTTTCAATAACCGTCTTACCAGGAATTAAGAAAAAGTGGTATTATACCAAAACCACAAGATCTGACATCCAAAACACCATTTCCCCATAAAAAGGCTTCCAAGCAAGATTCCAGCTTGTTTTAGCAGTGTAAATTCCAAATCATCATGACTCACCTCCAAGATAAATTATATGCAAAGACAACAGCCTATTATTTCAAGTAACAGAACAACAGAAATCATGATACAATTTGTTTCTTTAGACTCTTAAGATTCTGAAGCTCTTCAAGCAGCTAAAGAAAAGGTTAACCTTCCTTTATATTTATTTAAAAAGGAAACTGCTGTAAAATATTCAGACCAGTCCGAAGAATTTTCGTTTCCACTACAAAGTGATGGAAGACAGAGATGTGACATTGTAAACTTCTGTATAATTGTCCATCTACATGTTACTGCCAGGTAAATTGAATGCAGTCTCCATGATCTAGCCACCCTCTCTGTACCTCTTTGGAGGCTGACAAGAAAATTAATTTCCCCCCCCATAATATGCACGCATCCACGGACATTATAAGCTTTTATTTATATCAGTCTGTCAGATGAAATCTGTTTTCAAATGGCAAGGATGCCTGTTAGATACACAGCAGTGATCAAGAGCAGAAAAACCGTGCACACCTGGTGTTCTTTCATCCAACTCCTAACACCATCAAATCAGCAGCAAAGTTAGGAAATTGCAGGGCTAAGATATCTTCCATTTATAAACCAGGATACAACAGAAATTTACTGAAACAATAATCAAAATTAGCAATTCACAGCACATTCTGAGAATCAGATATAAAATGAAAATGTGCCATGTAGAATTCACATTAAAAAGCACTATGGACATAGAAAAACTCAATCACTGAAGAAAGTCTTTTATCATCTACGTTAGGATATACCGAATTACAAAGAAAGTAGTTAGAAATAATCAGAGAAAAAAGTTACAATTTCCCCCAACAAAACAAAAAATCCAAACAACCAGTACACATTATTTCAGCTGAAATAGTTATTACTTATTCGATTTATATCAAAAACACTTTCAGAGCAGTATAATGTTTGTTATGTTAGTTACAATAGGAGAAGGTTTATCGTCATTGCTTAGTATTTTATTGTAGAAGCAAAGGTGGATCATTAAACAGCATATGCCAAGACTGCAGTGTCAATTAGAGATAAAAGTTTGGATGACATTCCCCAGTCTGCTTTTTCTCCTTTGGAATAATACTGTATAAAGATTTAAACATCACAAATAGCAAATAACATTTAGACCACTGCACTCAGAATCAGGGTGCTCTGAATTACAGGATATTAACTTCTACTCTTAAGAATATTTAGATCTGTTACTACATACAGCCACTTTTTTTCCCTTTCAAAGAATACATACACGCTGATGTTTATTTATGACAAATTTAGCAGCTCTTTCTCCATTTTACATATTTTATAAATGGCACTATTCCTATAAGAATATTTATATAAACGATAATAAGATTGACTTTGGTTAAACAGTCACTTTACCCTGTCAACTCGTCATTCAACTTCTCTTCATTTCTGTACATAAACATATCACCAGATCTAAAAGACTCTTCAGTCAAACAAGGGAGTTCTTTGTGCTTTTCAATGATCACACAGGAAGTCATTATTTGTTTGCAGCATCTAACCAAACAGAGCCACTAACACAGTATTAGCAGAAAGTGACTTTCACACGCTTTGAAGTGGAGATCATATCAAGTGGTCCATAAAATTCTACATTTAATACATTTTTTTATTCTGCTTTCCGTGTATATGTTTCCTGAGCTAATAGACAGGCTTGAATAAAATGTTACTGCAGTAATAAAAACACTCAGATTTTAAGTAATTTATTTATTCTACTCATAAAGGGTAGAGGAAAAAATAATACTTAAACTATGTTGCCAGCATCAGAAGTACAGAAGTGAAAACAGACACAGGTAAAACTAGAAACATATTTTGAACTCAACTTCACACCCTATTTCGAAGGCCATTCATGAATGGAAGGTGGTCAGATAAGACCTCTAGAAGTGGTCTAGTCTGGTCAGAAAAGACTGAGGAAGACAGGAAAAGTTTGAGGAAGACAGGAAGGTGATCAGAGCTCCAGCCCAGAAAACCAAGAGTCGAACACTTCCTAAAGCTCATCTCCTTGCATTTGTTGTAGGAAGAACTTTTTCTGTTCTCCATCAGCCAAAAGATGACTAGAACAAGCAACTCTTGTGCTTGCCCTTCAATTCAGAAGTTTTACTGGATTTCCAGAAGCCAGATTATAACAACTGTTGAAGAATGTTTGCCTGACATGAAGAAAATCTTTACAGATAACAACCCTAACAAATATCACGGGATTACTTTCATGGAAGAGAGGATCAAAATCCAGATCATGGACATATCTCAAAATAACGAATTGTTGGGTACGCAGAGCAAATTAGATTCCTCTAATCCTGAAGCGAGCCAAGAGTGGCATATGAGACTGGATGCACGTACTGCTAACCTAAACACAGTCAATTTACTCATGACTTTCACACCCAGACCAGCAATGGTAGATTAGAAGAGTTGATTCTGTACAGGAAAAGGATGTCCAGCTATGTAACCGAAACTGCTTTAATGGATACAAATTGCTTTGTAATACAAAGACCTGTACATCGCAAATCTTTCTTTATATACCTATATATACGCACACACAGATACATACGCTCCCAAAAAAGGCAGGGAAAACAATTTTGCCAAGCATTATACAGCAGCAAAAGCTATCTTCTGAAATTTCATTTTTTAAGTCTTAACTTACCGCATTCATTAAATGTCATAAACTTGAAGTTATGCTTTTGTTACAGAACACCGTTCACCATGTTTGATGCCACTCATCTCCTCCTCTCCCTAATCTCATGCACATTGACATACCCCAGTTTAAAAAAAAAAAAGCTGAAAAGTGAACTAGACAAATTAAATACTTACTTATCAAAGCTATCACTATATTTTATGAAGCTCTCCAATTTTTCCTTGGCATATTCTACCACATCTGAATGAAGCTCTATTCCATGATTTATCCCAAAAGGTCCTGCAAATAAAAACAGCATTTTTTTCTTTAAACACAGCCCAAACACACGGAAAAGTATTTTAATCTTTCATCTGTAAAAGCACTATCATCACATAAAACAATTAAGTCTCCAGGTGTGGCCGAACAGATACTTTTATTTGCACTACACACACTTAAGAGGAAATATATGATGAAGTGCAAGGCCAGAGGCTCAAAGAAAGAGCTAGCATAGCACTGTGGCAAAATATTGTTTTATATCATTTATTTTCTTCATATATAAAAATGAACCTAACTATATTCAAGACATTGAACTACTCCTTTTGTTTCAACACAACTTGTTAGACAACATTATCAAGTCCTTTAGTTTGCATTTTGATATTTAAAGTTTGAAGAGTTCTCTTATGGTATATTTTTCAACTTTTAGCAATTTGAACACTGTTCAGTAATATAATAAAAATATGTTCTTCTAATTTGTGTTTTGGGAAGCTTCAAGACAGAAGATTGATTTATCATTCTCCATATAGTACATTTGAAGCTGACTGCACTTGCAAGTTTAATTCGTCATAACAACATTCCAGTTGCAACTGTACAGTTGCTTTCTTGCAATCAATATTTGGCATCCAAGCCTCCCCACTTCAAAGTTGATTTGTGTGCCAGAAGCTAAAAATTATTTCAGGAACAGGAGGAAATCATGAGACAGTATTACTAAGATTAGTGCACATCAGGAAGGAATCTGAATCAGGCAGCCACATTCGCTGTGGGGATTCTATATTTAACATGCACTCATAGCCCAGAGACCTTAGTCACTGGAGCATAGAATTGGGATAGATAGAGTAAAGAAGAGAAAGCAAATGACAAATTTCTAAATATTAGCCCCTAAAATGTTTGTCATTAGTCAGACACTGATTCATCAAAATTGGGCGACGGTTACTGAGAAAGGTTTTGTTTGGTTTCATTATACCACATGAACTTTTTTTTATGTCACTAGGTAGATCAATAATTACAATTCTTCATGTAAAACATTTCTGTGTGAAACAAAAAGAGATTCAGAATACTAAGTTCCTATGTACACTGGTCTGATAAGAGCCAACAGTTCAACAGACTGTGTAAGCGAGGCTTTTTCAACTTGTGAAGATATTCCTTCTACTGACACTCAGTGATCCTTCAAGTTTAGCACATTTTATCTATCACATTAAGAAACATGATCAGCACAGCCAATTTCTTCCTCGCTACTTCATTATCTTCCCCTGCACACTAATAAACTGACACATTTCTAAACAGCCTAGTTGCAACTACACTGTTCTGTGGCGATTCACAAGGTATGTCTTAGGTAGCATTAATTACCATTCCCTTAGCCTTATAAAGTATTCTATTTCCTAAAGTAAATTAAAAATAGACTGGAAACAAATCTTTGAGCAAGACACTACTATATACTCTATTATTCATGGATTGATCACAGAGATACACACTGTCCCTCATGAGGAAAGGTAATAGTTGCAGACTTGAAGCAAAAGATGGCAGCTCTCAAAAAGTGACATTAACTTTTGTGCTACTCTGCAAAGTTAGTCTCTTTGAATGCACCAAATTACTAACACTACCACATAATCTTAATGGTGTTTAGAGTTTAACTCTCATCAATAACTGCTTTAACTTAGTCTCCATGAAGTGTAGCTTTTTGGATGCTATTATGCTTACCAAGTGTTCTCCAATTTCAAATTACTTGCAAATTGCATCAAAATAACATAGATAAAAACACAGCAAAATTATTCACTGTACTGTCAGCTCATGAGATATTCAGCTACTCTCAAAGAACATGATTTGTTATTATTAATCACAGCGGATGTTGAAATTGATTTAGAAGTAGGAATATTTTAAAGCAGGCATTAAATTTAATATAGTGGATATATACTTGTTTTCCTTTAAAGCAATTTAAAATAAATACTAAAATTATGATTATTCATAATTATTAATTTCATCAAAGAAGCAGAAAACAAAGGCACACATCATTCAAACCTTTCCACACCTCAGTCTGGCACTCGAATCACATTAGAGCAGTACACATACTTAGGAGACAAAAATGCAGCATATATTATCTGTAGGTTTGTTTGAAATAGTCATCACTGAAGAGGGTAATGAAAAACTGCTTTCCATCATGAAGAGAAATGATTACTCTTACTCACTAAAATGAGCTTATTAAAATATAGTTAAATACTTGCTTAAAAAAAAAAAAGAAAAATACTACTGTAACTCTGAGCTTCATATCTTAAAACACCTACTCCCTCAAACAGAAACTCTGCAAACGGCGAAACTGCACTATCAGAAGACTTGCTTGAACTGCTGCCTGTGCAGGAGCACTAACTCCCGCTTCCACAAGGGGGAGCCAAGAAAACGGCTTTGGAATTTATTTATAACAGGAAAAATGAACACTGCTGCTGAGGGAGAAGAGGGCAACAACTGAAGTTCTGTGTACCTATTAGGGATATCTTACGCACTCCAACAACTTGCTTTCCTTCCTATCATTTTAATTTAGCGAATCAACACTCCACGACAACTTCACTTTGGAGCTGTACACGTATATGCAAAAATATGTTTTACCAGTCAGCAAGCTTTCTGAAAAGGAAGTAAACTGAATTTGTGAAAACTACTTACTAAAAGAATAGTTATTCTAGGTGATGAAATTGATCAAAAAACGTATTTGCTACTGAGAGAAAAAAAAGTAACTGAGGTAGGCTTTACAGTTTAAATTTGGCCAGCAGTAATTTAGTAAGTCATTTCATCCTTTCTCCCCACAGAGGATGCAATAATCTCTGAAGAGAGCTGTCTCCATGCTAAAACGACAGATTTTTTTCCCTGTTTTTCCAAGCACCATTAGCCTTCAAAATATAGATTTCCTTTCTATAAACTGAGAACAAAACAGTAATCTGGAATAGGGCATGAATATGATGTAAACAGACTAAACATTTAGTCCTCATGACAATTTTTCCTCTGCCTTTTCTACTTCAGCAAAGTCTTTTTTCCAAAATGAAAATTTTAGACAATAGAGGCAAACATAAAAACTGCCTATTCCGGAACACTTAATGTAATGTCAAGCTTGTATATAATATCCAACATAGTAAAATTAGTATCAGTCAGTCTCAAATATAGCACTGCTTGAAGTTTTACAAGGCTCAAAAAATAAACAGAAACAGCATAAAATAAAAACATTTAAGTTACCTAATATTAATCCCACCATTGTACTCAAATATCCGGTTCCACTACCCAGATTTAGAAAAGACAATCCAGGCTGAAGCTTCAGTGCTTCCATGACTTCGGAATAAATGCAGGGGGCTGACAAGTGTATATTTCCATGCTTCCAGGCCAAGTCTTTATAAGCATTGTCCCTGTATCCTTCCAGATAATAATCACCACGATCGATTGCTCTGAAGGCTTGTTCCACACTCTCGGTGCGAATATACTGAGCTTCTTTCAAGTTATCAATTAAGTCATCGTTGTCTTCTCCAGCACTCACAGCTCCTCCCATGATGAACTTCTACTTAACTCAGTTAGTTTCCAAAATGCATGAGAAGGAGAGTTTTCCAAAACGCAGTGTGTAACGGATTCTGTTCTTCTCTCAAAAGCACATCAGGCATGAATCCTGAAAGATATATTTACATAGTTTGAGTTCCAAAATATTTTAAAAAAACAAGTGTTAGAGGGTGACAGAAACACCTTCTAATAGAAGAAACATCAGCACCAGAGTCAGGAGAGCCAGCATTTCATCAAAAACCTGCCCTCCAGATTCACATCCACTTCATCCACTTTTCTGGTTTGACTCTAATACAACAACATTAGCAAGTGACACAGCATAGAAGGACTTTATACAAGATGAAAACATCCAGTGCTAAGAACTTAACACTCATCATGTATGTTTGCAGAGAGGGAAAGTCTTTGGACTAGCTCTAACTCCATCCTGAGAACTAAGTGTACATCAGCAGCTGGGAGTAGGTTCCAATTCAGTAGCACTTTAAGTGTTCACTCCTGACGCGAGCCATAATATTAGCACCGACACAACCACACACTGTTCTGCTCTTAAATGACCAGGAAGATTCAAATTCTGTTAGCATATTTCAGAATAAAGCACTCTTTTTTATTATTCTGCAGTCACTACTCTATTAACCACTGAAGTCATCTATTCCACATGTCAGCATTTTGAATGCTGCAAGAATTACCAGTGGAATAGCAACCAGATACAAGAATAAAGGAATACCAGTTTAAATCTTGTTTCCAAAACAGCAGCCTACCAGGCTGACTGTTAAAACAACCAGAGTTCTGCTCACAGTTCCACCACAGGTATTCCTGCGTGTTCTCTGCAGCAGTTCATGGAGGAACAGAGCACTCATCGCAAGTTATTCACATTAATTACAAAATCTTGCTTGAATGACCTTGAAAGGTCAGTTTCCTTAAACTTAGCCAGCAGGAAAAAAAATAAACAAATACCAGTGCTGCTGGTCCAGATCCTAGTTAGTCAACTGTACTTCCCTTTTCAAAGTTTCAAAGTGGGTTTTTTTGTTTGTTTGTTTGTTTGGTTTTTAAGTAGTCTTTTAACCCTATCCAGCATTACACATTTCAAGTCCAAATAAGCATGGGCTGCTTAAGACCCAACATATTTGAGAGACTTTTCTCTACCAGAAAGGGTCTGTCTTACAAACTTAAAAAGAAAAGAGCCAAAAAAGGGTATTTTTTTCCCAAAAGGTAACACTCTAATATTACATCGACAAGAGGTATGTATACAAGACAAAACATGCAAGTAAGAAGATCTGTAGCCACCGTGGTGATTTTGCATTTTTTTTCACCAATGAGCAAGAGAAACATGAACATACCTACACTTGTTTTGTTGTACTACATACCAATAACTCAAAAATGTCTCTTCGAACCACCGTATTTCAGTAAGCATTTTCTTTTCTTTTAGACTTACTCTTTCTTTGGAGATGTTATGTAAATTACTATTTCATGCATGTCTACTTATATAAAGGAGTAAGCCAGGAACTGGCAAGCAATCCAGATGTCCAAAGTCATGTAAAGTTGCCAGTACAAAGTTGGTTCCTAAGTTTATAACATCAAGGTCAACTGCAACTACAATCATCAGAAACTCCCCTACCACCGCATCACTAAAAGATTGTCTTTTTTCATCTTTTATCTCAGTTTAGTTTTTCAGACTATGAAAGAATGCTAAAAGACCTTTGAGAATGAGAACTTTTATCTGAAGTCTGCTCACCTGCTGGACTAGAGTCCAATGCATGAGCTCACTTTCCTAGAGATCACATCTAAAAAATAAATAGTAATAATAATAAAAAAACCCCACTCCTCTCCAAATAGAGGCCAAGACCTTAAGCTGTTCAGAACTTACTTTAAGCTTCCCATGGAACAAGTATTAGTACCCCAAAACAGGGAGCTGGAAGTAGTGGGAGTCCAGTTCTCCTCAAGACTTCCCTGTCTTCCAACAAAGGAAACTTCATTTCTTATTTGCAGCTTGGGTTGATAGAAATGTTTCCTTCTTGCTCTCTGCATTAATTTGCATAAAACTATCAAGTCACTAAAAGATGAGTAACTAGGAGAGAGAAATGTTAATGACCACTACCGGCCCTGGTAAAATCATGGGGAAACTGATGAGTATCCCTCATTTGGACAGTATGTTTCCATCTAAATCAGAAACAACTCTCATTAACAAACCAAAACAAAAAAGATACCAGGCACAGTTATCAATCAGGAGGAAAACCTCTGGCACAGTGCACTTGCAGGATGTAAGCACGCAAATACATACATACATCCTGACATGCACAATCCCCAGCCATGCTCCTTTTTCATCTGTGAAAGGAGGGACACTTTCATTTGTAAAAATATCCCAGGTCTGCTCATATGTCCACAGTTGCGACACACTTGAAAGATTAAATTTACCTTCACAGAAGACTTCAATGAACTACTGAATCAAAAAGCTAAAGAGATTGAAAAATCTCTAGAACCTAAGAAATAATAGCTATCATCTCTCAACCCAAAGCAAAACCAAACAAACATCTTGTAATTCACACTTAGTCTCACCTGCACGATACATTCACTACATGCAGCCACCAGATGGAGAACTTCACCAGCTCTCTGTGGCTCAACAGGTCAGCAGGCAAATGCAAATGTTAAAGGAAAATGGATATTCTTCCAACTGGACAAAATACTTTACAGTTTCTATCAATGTCTTTATTAGGTTCACCAAAATACAAGATTTCCCATAAAATAGCATTTATTAATTTCAAGACAACTCACCACACAAACTAAAATAAAATTACAAAACACTGACTTTTTTCCTCGGGGCTTTCTGGTATCTCAGAGATTCACTACTGCTGACACCGTCCAAGCCTTTCACTTCATTAGTGATTATCACCCTCAATCTTAAAGGCAAGAACAGCAAAGATCTGCTATATGCCACGGCCCTGGATAAATCAGTGCAGAAAAACGAAGCCTACACTCTCACCATCCGCTGGGACACCCACAGCAAAACTGAGTGAGATTAGCTGGAAGTGTGGTTGATGACTTCCAAATGGGGATAAAAATAAAACTGGCTTTTTCTGTGTGAGTTAAGTTAAGAATAGGGATAGTCCTCACTTTTTAGTTAACCTGCTTTTTGTTGATTCCATTATTCAACTATGGTATCCTACCCCAGCACCTGAGCTACAGTTAACAAACACTGCTCTTGAGAGGGAGATTATTTCTATAAACAACAATACGTAGAAAGTTTAACAAATGAGTGTAATCATTCAGTGGAAAGTGATCTCTTGTAGCAGTAGTTTTAGAGGGACATTTCCCTTCAAAGCATTTATGCTGGCCTTCTAAAAGGCAAATGATTTGCTCATGACAGACGAGAGATGTGCAAAATCAGATACACTTGTTACTATTTTAAATAGGCAAGAAGCTACTCCACAAGCTATGCTGATAGAGTTTGTGTAAAACAACCTAGTTAGCCCAAGCTTCCTTTTAACAGGTAATCCAGGACTGAGATAAACAGATTGTCTTAAAATAGAAAAAAGTTCTATATGGCTACACCTCACAAGAATTACACAAAGTGTCCTGTGAATCCTACTGGTGTCCAAAGTGGAACACATTGAACTGGAACAGTACGAACAGCATTTTGGTACGGTGATTTTGGAATAAAGCAGGCAGGATACACGGCATTAATAATAAATGCCACAACTGTCCTTAGCCCTACCAATCCCTGGAACCCAGTAACCATCAGAAACTGTAGCTTCAATACATTTTTAAAAAAGATTTTATTCACTAATAAAAGCCAGTTTCAGTAAAAAAATAAAATCTTTCTTATTCTACATTATACATGAAGTGTTTGTTAGAGTTTATCTTGAGAAGAATACATTTGCACTTTGTAAATAAACTCCTTAGGTCACTTGGGACCGCAAGCCTTTCTTAAGCACAAGTTAAATATCATACTAACAAGGTACCAACTTAACTTGACAAATGAAACCTTGCCCTTTGTAAATCCACACAATTATAATACCAATATGGCGACCACACATTGTCTAGGATCATCATCATGCAACTTGATCTCACTATCTTTACTTTTATTTTGTCTAGAAGGAGGCGAAAAAAAAATATACAAATATACACAATCACCCGTATTTCAAGCCACACCTATTTTAAAGAAGTGACTATAAAAACTCTTTCCAGAATAAGCAATATTTCATGACAGTAGAGCATTAACCCACACATGCACGTAAGGGACTAAACAACTTCATTTTTACCGTTGCAGACGGTTTTGTTCACAATTCTCTCAACATAAGCTTTGTTGTTGACAGAAGTCAGTAACATGAATTCTCATCAGCAGAAATACAGTGTTTCCCAAGCTACCAACATTAAATCTGTTCTTGAGGCCATTACCACTGAACATTTTGCTCATTCTTGTCCTAGAAGAAAAATCCAAAAAGGTTTGCATTTTTAGTTTAGCTTTCCTTTTCATACCAATTATGACAAAAGTGCAACAGTAAGGAAATTGAGCTCCAAACTGCAGAGCAGAAGCTTTAGCAGAACCTCCTGATCAAGCAGAATAACGGATAACTATGAGAAGAAAAGAGAAATTATTCCATTATTCTCACACCAGGCAACAGCTGCAGAAATCAAAGCGTAAACTGTCTGGGCTAGAGGTGATTTGACTTGAAGAACCAGAATAAGCTGTGGGACACAGGCATTCCAGAATGTAGGATTCAAACACAACAACAACCACCTCACACTTCTAAAGCTCTTACACTTCACAACTCTTCTAGCCTGGTTCCTAAAATGCAATGTTAGGTAATAAAAAGTCTAAACGTTCTGGAAGAGCAACTGCAACTTGAACTGCTCTCTTCTACAGCTATTTTTGGCATTTATGTTAAATAATTTGGAAGGAAAACAATCTTTTTCAGATAAACCATAGTAACACAGTAAACCACCAACTGAATAAAGAACTCAGTGTTAGAAATACCATTAGCTTTTCAAGTCTGTATTCTGGAAAGACCTGTTTCACTTAAATGAAAGCATTCACTCCTACCCCACTGTTCAGCATGCATCACCTCAATCAGCTTTTCAGGTTAAACATAAACAAGCCATACAAAACCAGGCATG